CGGTAATAGGGGAGAGTTAATTAAACCAAGAAATTTGAGAAGAAAATAAGCAATCACTTTTCAATGCATGATGTGACGCCTAATGAAGCGACAAACTTGTGAGTTCACATAAGGTAAAGAATGATGATATAAGGAAGAGAATTGTCATGCCTCAGAATACATAAGAGTTGAACATTCCTAACAAATTAGCCAAAAAAACATAAATAAACCGTGATATTCAATCCCGAAAGCTTAGGTAGGCCTACCTATCCAGCACTCCAAAACTGACATCCCAAACAAAGAGGCTGCCATCCACGAAGTAAACAAGCAATAAATCTTCTGGTATCCTCCAGCCGAGTGCGAGCACTGCATTTTCAGAAGATATGTTTGGATGTGAGGCACGCAAGAGGAGGGCAGACTCACGAAGACTATAAACAGAGACGGATCCATCTGTTCCAACGGAAGTGATACAGGCCTATGTGAATTGAATTAAAAAGGTAATAAAGGAGAATGGAGAAAATGGATACAAGAAAAAAATGTGGCCGATTTAATGACTGACTGGCTGGAAGGTTATCCTTTTAGGAATAACCAAAGCATTTATTATTTCATACCAGAGAATATTGAATAACAATTATCCTTTTCAGAAAATTTAGTTAGAGGTATTCGTGAATTGGGTGCCTCCGAGACTAGAGTATTATATGACGAGTCCGAGATAAGCATAGTTTCCGCTAGGTCAAATTGGCATTCACAATACCAAGGGAAGCTTGGTTCGTTTTCTGATGAGACCAACCTAAGAATCCTAATCATATGAAATGGATGGAAAATGATCTGGTTAAGAAATTAAGAAAATAAAACAATTAAAAGATCGCAACTCCTACGCCGAATTTCTGCAAGTAGAGTGGATTTGACATGAAAAGAAAGAAAACTTAATGGAATGTGAGCAGTGCAAAATTAAAAGTCATTAACAAGGAGAAAATTTTCATTCGCTCAAGATATAATAAAGCCTGATAAAATAGAAAGAGGTGACTCATGCAGATCTGCACTCAACTATAAGACTCGGTGTGAACTCGACATCATCCGTCTTCGCAAT